TTCCCTAGCGTCGCAATCTGATTTCTTTCCTCTCTCCCTCTTTTAGTGTCTTTTTATCGCTTTTTGCAATTGACAATAAAACTGTTTGGCAGTAGAAAAAACAAAAACACAAAACTCACACACACTTGCAAAAGACAAATATAAAACACTTTTGAATTTTCGCCCAGCTAAAGCTTATCAAAAAAAAATTGTGTGTGTCGCCGTGGTGGAACGGTAAACAAAAGCAGAATAAATAATAGTACATAGACAAAGTTTTGCTATTTGCCAGCGCTTTCTTTTCGAGCGATAGAAGAATGCCGAATATATAGAAAATTATAATTAATCATGAACGAGCTTGAAGCGGGAACTGGGAGTGCCGGTGGCCAATTGAATTATGAATTCAAAGCGACGACCCACTGGGTTCAAAATTAATTTCTATAAAATATAATAATACTAATACAATTAAATAAAACTAAAATTCGTATGGATATATTCCCGGCTTCATTTGCATGCACAACAAACACACACAAAACACACACATAACATCCGGTCATTAGCAACTTAATTGAACTATGACCAACAGAGGAAAAAGGGTTGCACTGTATAATTTAAAACGAATTAAAATCACACAAGTATGCGCAGACCGATCTATATATACATATATATATATGTATTGTGAGCTATATATATTTGTACCATTTTCGGTGATATAGTATTATTATCGAACCGAATTTGGTGTGCATTTACCTATCAGCTGAATTTCAAATTGGAAAACGATAATCAAAGGCCGAATTTGATTTAAATACTTAATGAATCCCATGAGGCCGGGCACTTGGCCAGTCTCTGTTTGGTAGTAATTCTGGGCCGACACCCGCTTAGCCCACTGACACATAAAAAGGGCGCCAAACTCAACCTCTGAACAGGGTAATAAAAGGGGGTATGATAGTAAGTAGCTTTGGTTAACTCACTTTGCTGGCCAAAATTGCAACTTTATTGTTATTATTATTACTGCTAATACATTGCACGCGCCCGTGAAAATTAAACCATTCACGGTTTATCTCTTAGCCACTGAACTTGAGCGATCACCGCGCGAATAATACTCGAATACTCGAACTCGCGCAGAACCAACTCTCGCACATACATATAATATATAGATTTTTCGCTCGCGACAACTTGACTTGGCAAAACTTCTGTAGTAACTAAATCGCTCGGGGAATACGGACGGTATCGTATAACACAAACAAACCCACGAATGCCAAAGCCAAAAGCAATAAAAGCAACAACTAAATGCCGAAGGCAAAAGCACACCAGCAGCAGCAGCAGCAGCAGCAGCAGAGCAGCAAAAGCAGCAGCAGCAGAGAGCAAGAGTCGCCTGTTGATTAGAGTGACTTGTTGCTGCCGATAGCAGCGCTGCCTTTAAGCTCTGCCTCAGTCTGCTTCAGCTTTAGCGTCGACTTCAGCGTCGAGTGGTGGGTGAGGACTGCGGACTGAGGACTGAGGACGGCTCTCCTCCTCTCTCATTGTAGCCGGCTTAGAGCCGTGACTTGTTGATGTTTTGCCATTGCAATACCCTGCAATCAGGGGTTTCTTAAGGCATGCTCACTGCAGAGTAAGCATAACAAGGGGAAGCATAAACAAAGCAATTCATTCATAAAGTTCACTACTAAAAGTGGGTGGGAGTACAACATGTAACAAATAATGGATGTTATATTACATTATATGGGTAATCTTGTTGTTGGTTCTTCAGCATTAAATAATATTGATACTAATTTTATAAATTTCGTAACAACCATTATAAAGGTTTCTTACAAAAATTGTATATAATTTCTGTACATAAGAAATAATATTTAAGTAAGGAAATTATAAACAAATTAATCCTATCTATTGCAGAAAATATTTTAAGAATTTAGGACAACCTTTTATCTATTAATCGACTAAGAATTATAAAAGATAAGGTACTTGCTTATAAGAGTCTTCAAATTTCATTCCATTTTGAATCTCTTCTTGCTTCATATATAATAATTTTAAAATTATTGATTAAGAAATATGAAACTGAATAACAGAATACACGGTACAAGTCCAAGGTCTATACACCCCCAAAACCCTTCATGTTTGTCGTCGCTTTGCTCCCTCTCGATTTTCGTTCTGCGTTCGGCGAGCACGAACCACAGATCCGATATTTTTCAAATTTGTATGCATAAATTCACACACAAATGCTCACCGAGGGTCGGTGGGGGTCACTGTGTGTGTGGGGTAGGGTAGGGGGTGTTCTGGCTAAATGGGTAGGGGACTGTGCAGGGAAAAAAGGGGGCCGAAGTCGAGGCTTGGCCAGCAAAACAGAACAAAAGAATCCAATCATTGTCAGTGCATTGTGCCGCAGCATGTGCGCATCTGGTTTAGGGCAGAAGCTGGATCCGGAGCTGCAGCTGGAATCGAAACTGGGACTCCAATGGGACTCACACACACACTCGCACACATGGTCATTGGGTTAGAAGCAGGAGCAAAGGGCAGGGGGCAGGGGACAGGGGTGAGTCGACATGGACAGACATATGTCTGGAGTGGAGACAGTCGATGAATGACGATGACGACATTGCGGGTGGCACAGTGCACATGGCCAGAGGGGCGATCGAGTAGTTTGCAACAGCAGGGAATTATTAAGACTAATTGGAGCAATTTGAATGATTATATCAAAGGGGGAGGTTATCCATATAAATGATATTTAACTATACAAGTCATTTATTAATAAAATCACATGTCTACCTAAGATAATTATACCCTTGCAGGGTATTATATTTTCAGTTAGAAGCTTGTAACGCTGTGAAGGAGTCATTTCCGAGCTGTTTCCTGCCAAAATCTATTTTTTTCGAAATTAAAAAAAATATAAGGGGTTTCATTGTTAAAATTGTCAATAATAAGGAAAAATTTAGATTTTTTTTAAATATAAATTTAGTATGTAGATTATTTCCCTAATAAAAACTAACATAGGACTGCTTTCCGAATTACAAATAAAGTAATTTTAGTTGAGCTATTAGTTTTTAAAACTTTGATTTTCCAAAAAATTGTTCACATAAAAATATTTATAAATATCGAATATTTGAAGCTTACTTATGGTCGATTTCCGATTCAAAATAAAATTTTCATTGCTAATCTAGCTTTTTATCTGCTATTACTTAAATTTACACATTTTCAAACTATTCTTCCTTACGGCACACATGGCGTATACTTAATAGGTATATAAAGGGTTCTCATGTTAAGTATACGCCATGTGTGCAGGGTATTACAATTTCAATCAGAATTTTGAAACGCAGTGAAGGATTAATTTCCGACCCTGTAAATAGTTTTATTCTTGATCAGCAGCAACAGCCGAGTCGATCTATCTAATTAATTAATTAATTTAATTTAATGTATTATAATGTGTTAATTATATTAATAGCCAATAAAAAATTACCTATATTTAAAAATATTTGTAAGGACTTTTTAATATATTTAAAATTATCCTTCGCTAATTAACAACTCCTAAAGCGAAACTCGCATTTATGGTGATTTCCTTTATTGTTTTTCGTGTTTGTTTGCCGGCTTAGGCAGTGACCACTCGTTGCGCACCCTCACACCCCACTGCTAAGCCTGTGCTCCTCCCTCCAGCCCCTCCAAAATCCCACTTCCACTCCCCCTTCCCTCTGCCTGTCACACTTCATCGTAAACATACGAATATAATGCCAGCGAGCAGCGTCATTGTCATCGGCGTAGCGTCAAGCTCGAACAGCCAGACAGAGGCGTTGTCACAGGGGGAGGTTGGTTAAAAAACGGTGAAGGAGAGGAAACCGAAATGTAGGGAGCAACCCTCGGAAAGGGGTTCCCTTTGAAATGCTACGGCGTTCAGTGCCATAGTTATTATATTTCCAATACTATTTGCGAGGGAGTGAGCCGGCTCAGTTCTTCGTTAAATAAACAGTTTATGGGTTTTTTTTCTCTGTCGTTTATGCCGAGGCATGATTCACAAACAATTTCAAGTTGATTGCGGTTTTTTTTTTACTTTGGTTAATGTAATTAGTGAGGGAATGCATACGATGACCAAGTAATGTAGTGGTAAATATTGACTTTTCTTAATGAGATGTCACAGGAGAAGTTTAAATGTAGAAATTAATTGTAAACAAACTCTCAAATCAAATTTAAATATATCTACAAAATATCAAAATTTACTTCAAGTAATTTTAAATATTTTATTGAGTCTCCAGTGACAAATAAAAGGACTTTTAAGAACTCTCAGGGGTAGCCTAATTAACAATAGGCAAGTAAAGCCGTTGTTTTTAGGTTATTAAATTGTTTAATGAGCTGGGGAATTAATCACATTACAATTAAAAAGTATTGTTTAAGGATTTGATTCTATAAACATAATATATCAAAGCTCAGTTTGATATGGGAATTATATGGAATGATAAAACTCTTTTCCTAATTAACTCATTCTTCAAATCGGATTATTTCCCTATAATAAATCAAGGCTCATTTTCAATATTTATTGAACTGATTTCAAATACTTGACTTTATTTTTATTATTTTGTAAAATTAGGGGAGTATAAATGCGTCTATCTGTTAACCCACATTAACTGTTATTCGATTAACCACTTAAATTTTTAGTAAAATCAAGCAAAATGATGTTAAAAATACACCTTCTCTTCAACAAAGGTCCTGCTCCTCCATAAAGCTCACCTGTTGTTCCATTTTCGAGCACCTCACTGGTTTCATAAGGCGTTCCACACTTCCGGCAAGTCTCCGCCACCGCACTGAAAGTGAAAAGTGGGTTAGTTTACACCTCTGGGAATCGCAATCCACCAGGACTTCCGCTCACCTGCTCAAGGCCAAAATCAAGGGACCCTGCTCCCGCTGTGACTGAAGCACTCGAAGCAGCTGGGCATCGGTCAGCGGGACATCCTTCAGCCGCAGGGATGACTATGGGGGGCAGAGGCGAGACGAGACGGGACCGAAATAGAAAACACTTTGGGTTACATCACAAATCACTTAAAGCACGATTTATTACGGCATAACACTTAGAGAGAACAGCTTGGGGACTTAGCCTAATTTGTCGTACACTCTTGGCCACTCTGGGAGCCGGAACTGGAGCTGGAGCCGGAATCGGGTTGGGAATCGTGGACTCCCTGCCCTTGCGGAGCGAGCAGAACTTCAGCATGTCGACGGGCGGAGGCCACGCTCAGAACTGAGCCGTGAGATCTCTGGTCTTTGTAGTTTTTTTGGGGGCGTCTCTCGGAGATCGAAGCACCGATAAGGGCTACGTCATCTCGCAGATGCCCCTTCGGTCCATGAAAACCTCCAGGCACGTGGTGTCAACGCGATCGAAGAGCAGCGATCCAAATCTCCGCGCGGTATAGTCCACAATGAGCACCATCTTGCAGTTGATGCACTTGTCACGGTAATGGAACAGCAACCCCACCGTCGGATGCACTATGTGATCGGTGTAGCCCGGAGCGGAGCGATAAACCTGATGGTTACCCATCTCCACAATGCCCCGGGCATTGACCACCACCTTGCTCCGTATATGGGCGGGCAGGACCTCCAAAGTCCTCTTCACCTTCGACTGGGTGTAGAGCAGCCGATTGAGAACATGGGCGGGTGCATTGAAGGTGTCATTACTATCCTTTCGGTGGAAGAAGACATTGCGGAAGACAAAGCCCGCGGTTCGGCCCTCATCGCACTGACGCAGATAATCCGCCAGGGTGTTGTGCTTCAGCGGCATCATCACCTCATCCAGATCCACCACTGCGGCATACCTAAAGTTATCCACGACATTGGCACGATAAACACAGTCATTGAACTGCGCCACGATTCCGGCATAATGGAGATCCTCCAGATGCGAATGCACATTCCACTCAAAGACATCGGCCAACCCGATGCGCTGATAGTGTTCCAGGACACGACGCACATCCTCGGTGGCCTCCACATAGTAGAAATAGAAATGACTGGCACCCTGAAGGCGATACATCTCCACAAACTCCACCAGACGAAGGACATTGGAGTAGTTCTCTTGCAGCGGACCCACGCACACGGATATTGTGGGACGGGAGCGTCCAAAGAGATTGGTCATGTTGCGGGGATAACTAAGGATCAAAGGATTAGGAAATCAATACTAAGATGAAATAAGGTCAGCACCCACCTGATTTGCACAAAAGTAGGACTCAGGTGACTCAGCCTGTTGGAGCCATAGGTCAAGGCAACCGCTTGTGGCAGCCGCATCGGACTCCTACGGGAGGCATGCAGGGGACACATGATGCTCCAGGCAGCAAAGGTATTATTGTGCACATCATGCATGGCTCCCGCCTCCTCGGCCACAATCTCCTGGCTGGTAAAGTCCGCAAAACGGACGATGCAGCTCACCCGGGAGTCGCGCAGGCGCTCTGGGAGAATGGCAAACAGACGCAGGGATCCGATGGTCATTTGCTCCTCATCCAAGCGGACGTTGCCTGGAAAACAGTAATGGATTAAATATATAATTAGTTATTTGTATTATTCTTTTCTATAAGTTCTTCGCTTTCGCTCACCTATGATCTCTGTTCTCACATCAAAGTAGGCCGAGTAAATCTCATGCCTGAGCGAGGTATTTCCTATCCTTCGCCAGCTATTGCTGTAGTCCCAATGAGGATTTGGCTTCTCAAAGATCATCTGATGCTGCGTCTTGGCCAGATCCTCGCGCAGTCGCTCATTCTGGAAGCAGAGTATCCAAAAGGATGAGTCACAGGATCTGGAAATACCTAGATAGGGTGTCTCTCTCTCCTAAACTCACTAGGCTCGAGCGCATGGAGATGTAGACCAGGATGAGCATGGCGCTGGCCACCAGGGCGGATAACGCAAAGTACACATACTGGAAGCGATTCTCCTGAGCCGCCAGCATTTCGATTTGGCTCCGCTCCTCAGGAATCGCCGACAGCAACTAAAACTGTTTATTTATTTCCTAGCCGTTATCGTTTTCGCTGCGCGGTGTGTTCGTTGTGAGTGTGTTGTGTGTGTGTGGGCGTCGACGGCGACGTTAACCGCAAAACTGGACTGCGACGATGGCTACAACAATGTCTTGGGGCTCGGACTCGGGTCTTGGCCGTCGAGGTTTCCAGTGCTCGTTGGAGCTCCTGTTGCTTATTTGCTTAGCGTTCTTGATGGCCGGCCATCGATTAGCGATAGCGCTCTTGTGGTTGTTGCTTTTGGTGGCTCTGCTTTCCCTTCAGTGTCATCACCGCCGTGCCGCCACCCCCTCCGCTCTCCACATTCTTGTGCCCCCAAACCGACCTAGCCGCAAGTTCACTTGGCGCCCCCGCACACAAAACGCAAATAATTATGGTCTCATATATGGCACTCTCACCCCTTCTCGCTGATAATGTAAACAAATTAAAGAGATGTTGGTCTCACAAGAAAAATAAAAAGGAGGTTTTTACAGTCTATAAATTATAGAAATATATGTGATACCTAGGTTAAAGCTATATATCATTAATATCTTTGTTGGAAATAAGGTAAATGTGTTGATTTTATTTTGTGAAAAAGTACTTTAAGTATTTTTAAAATGACATAAAAAATCTATTGTTAGTTACTAATGGCACGATAATAGACTGAATTTATGTATTAGTATTTAAACAGCTCAGCAAAAGTAATAGATGAATAAAGATAATAAGAAAAGCTACATGAAACAGACTTTCCTCTGTTTAAAACCAAATATTTTTAAAATAAATAAAACTACTAATAAAAACTACATAAACCAGAGTTTCTCATGTTTCAAAATTAACTAAAAATACTTATATTTCTAAACCATATAAAATTCTTTAAAAAATTCGAAGAAATCGAGAAAAGTTATTCAAGGGTTTATAAAAAATCCAATGCGTCAAATATATATTTTTTCTAGGAATTTATATTTCAAAAACCTGTCATATATAGAATATTTTTTGAAAACTTATGGAACGCAAAACCTCCTCTAAATGTATTATTTATATATATATTTTATTAAGTTATTATTGTGATAAATTTATTATGTTGATAAATTACTTTTATAAGAAAATAAATATTCTTCCAGACAAACACTTTGTATTATAAATATATATTTTTTAAGTCAAACTTTCAACCTGCCCAATTAATCTCACAAAAACTCTTGACTTCTTTAAGAAACACTACAAATTCTATGCATTTTTTTCACGTGTAAATTAAAGACTGTGTAAGGAGGAGAGAGACCCGGCGCTTTTCCGCTCCACTCCCGCGTTATCCAGGACGCGTATGCAACAAGTTAATCAACGCACGCCTCGCATCAAACTGGCGCCTCTGTCCATGGACGCTGTCATCAAATGGCGGCCGCCCCGGGCAGCGCAGTAACGGCGCCGCAGCAGCGCAGCAGCAGCGTGTCGAGGAGAACCCTTGTAAGCGAGTCAACTCCACGCCCCCACCGAGTGGGTGGTGGGTTGTGGATGGGTGCTGGGGGGAGGGGACTTAATAAATTGTACGCTTGTCTCTCGATTGGAGTGTCCATGTCCACGTCTGTCGCCACCGTCGCCACCGTCGCCACCGTCGCTGGGCGTGAGTCAGCGTCGTCGCCTTTGGCAGCTATTTTTAAGTAAATACGGCCGGCCAACATCCTCCTCCACTTTTATTATTGAAAATGAAAATATATCAATTATACATAGAGCCACACGCACACAGCCAGGCGTTCATTTCTTTTATTCGGACACATGTTTACGTATAATTGCCGCATTTAATACATTTGTCTCTCGTCTTTTTGGTCGGACAATCGAAAGTGGCCAAAAGGCAACGGCCACTTGATGCTTGAGTTCAAATAATTATTTGGGAACAGTGGGACACAATTAATTATACAGTTTATTTATAAGAAAATGGGAATTTAAATTATAAATTTCAAATGAAAAACTCCTAGATTTCTGCTACGAAGTAAGCAGTAAATAGGCATTTTTACATTTAACTATGATCAGTAATTAACTATGACCATTAAGTAACTATGAGCAGTTATTAATTCAGTAAGTATCAATGAACAGTAAGTAAATATAATCAGTATTTAACTCTGTTGAGGAGGTATCAATGAACAGTAAGTAACTATGACCAGTAAGTAACTATGATAAGTAATTAACTCTGATTAGTAAGTATCAATGATCAGTAAGTAACTCTGATTAGTAAGAATCAACCTTAAGTAGCTATGACCATTAAGTATCTATGAACTTTAGTAAACAATGACTTGCAACTTTTTAACACAACACTCTTCTGAAGCTGGGCCGGCAGCAGTCACTTCGGTTCGGGGATGTTATAACTAGTTGGGAATCATAAGTACAGATGTGCGAGATGCCAGTTAGTAGCACTGACCCGTAAGTAAGTATGATCAGTAATTAACTCTGATGAGTAAGTATCAATGAAAAATAAGTAACTTTAACCAGGAAGTATCTATGAACAGTGATTAACCCTGATGAGTAAGTATCAATGAACTGTAAGTAACTTTGACCAGGAAGGATCTATGAACAGTAAGTATCAATGAGCAGTAAGTATTTATGAACACTAATAAACAATGACTTGCAACTTTTGAAACACAACACTCTTCGGAAACTTGGCCGGCAGCAGTCACTTCGTTCCGGGGATGTTATAACTAGTTGGGAATCATAAGTACAGATGTGCGAGATTTGTTTTGGAGCAATGAGCAAGCTATATAAATGAAACTATGGAGAAATTCTTCTATGTAATTATACTACTGTATAAGTCGGAGAATGGCGAATCGGTGGACACTATATATACATATATATAGCTGCCATAGTACCGATCGGACGATTTATAAAACTATGATCAATATATATCAATAAACATTAAGTAACTATGGCCAGTAAGTAGCAGTGACTGTAAGTAACTATGATCAGTAATTAACTCTGATGAGTAAGTATCAATGAACAATAAGTAACTTTGACCAGGAAGAATCTATGAACAGTAAGTATCAATGAGCAGTAAGTATTTATGAACACTAACAAACAATGACTTGCAACTTTTGTAACACAACACTCTTCGGAAACTTGGCCGGCAGCAGTCACTTCGTTCCGGGGATGTTATAACTAGTTGGGAATCATAAGTACAGATGTGCGAGATTTGTTTTGGAGCAATGAGCAAGCTATATAAATGAAACTATGGAGAAATTCTTCTATGTAATTATACTACTGTATAAGTCGGAGAATGGCGAATCGGTGGACACTATATATACATATATATAGCTGCCATAGTACCGATCGGACGATTTATAAAACTATGATCAATATATATCAATAAACATTAAGTAACTATGGCCAGTAAGTAGCAGTGACTGTAAGTAACTATGATCAGTAATTAACTCTGATGAGTAAGTATCAATGAACAATAAGTAACTTTGACCAGGAAGTATCTATGATCAGTAATTAACTCTGATGAGTAAGTATCAATGAACAATAAGTAACTTTGACCAGGAAGTATCTATGAACAGTAAGTATCAATGAGCAGTGAGTACCTATGAACACTAATAAACAATGACTTGCAACTTTTGTAACACAACACTCTTCGGAAACTTGGCCGGCAGCAGTCACTTCGTTCCGGGATGTTATAACTAGTTGGGAATCATAAGTACAGATGTGCGAGATTTGTTTTGGAGCAATGAGCAAGCTATATAAATGAAACTATGGAGAAATTCTTCTATGTAATTATACTACTGTATAAGTCGGAGAATGGCGAATCGGTGGACACTATATATACATATATATAGCTGCCATAGTACCGATCGGACGATTTATAAAACTATGATCAATATATATCAATAAACATTAAGTAACTATGGCCAGTAAGTAGCAGTGACTGTAAGTAACTATGATCAGTAATTAACTCTGATGAGTAAGTATCAATGAACAATAAGTAACTTTGACCAGGAAGTATCTATGAACAGTGATTAACTCTGATGAGTAAGTATCAATGAACTGTAAGTAACTTTGACCAGGAAGAATCTATGAACAGTAAGTATCAATGAGCAGTGAGTACCTATGAACACTAATAAACAATGACTTGCAACTTTTGTAACACAACACTCTTCGGAAACTTGGCCGGCAGCAGTCACTTCGTTCCGGGGATGTTATAACTAGTTGGGAATCATAAGTACAGATGTGCGAGATTTGTTTTGGAGCAATGAGCAAGCTATATGAATGAAATTATGGAGAAATTCTTCTATATAATTATACTACTGTATAAGTCGAAGAATAGCGAATCGGTGGACACTATATATACATATATATAGCGGTCAAAGAACCGATCGGACGATTTATAAAACTATGATCAGTATATATCAATGAACATTAAGTAACTATGGCCAGTAAGTAGTTATGACCCGTAAGTAAGTATGATCAGTAATTAACTCTGATGAGTAAGTATCAATGAACAATAAGTAGCTTTGACCAGGAAGAATCTATGAACAGTAAGTATCAATGAGCAGTGAGTACCTATGAACACTAATAAACAATGACTTGCAACTTTTGTAACACAACACTCTTCTGATACTTGGCCGGCAGCAGTCACTTCGTTCCGGGGATGTTATAACTAGTTGGGAATCATAAGTACAGATGTGCGAGATTTGTTTTGGAACATTGAGCAAGCTATATGAATGAAACTATGGAGAAATTCTTCTATATAATTTTACTGCTGTATAAGTCGAAGAATGGCGAATCGGTGGACACTATATATACATATATATAGCGGTCAAAGAACCGATCGGACGATTTATAAAACTATGATCAATATATATCAATAAACATTAAGTAACTATGGCCAGTAAGTAGCAGTGACTGTAAGTAACTATGATCAGTAATTAACTCTGATGAGTAAGTATCAATGAACAATAAGTAACTTTGACCAGGAAGTATCTATGATCAGTAATTAACTCTGATGAGTAAGTATCAATGAACAATAAGTAACTTTGACCAGGAAGTATCTATGAACAGTAAGTATCAATGAGCAGTGAGTACCTATGAACACTAATAAACAATGACTTGCAACTTTTGTAACACAACACTCTTCGGAAACTTGGCCGGCAGCAGTCACTTCGTTCCGGGGATGTTATAACTAGTTGGGAATCATAAGTACAGATGTGCGAGATTTGT